CTGGCAAAGAGGAAGGCAGTGTGGGGAGGTGTAAGAGAGGGCATAGCATACTGGAAATAGCACAGTGCTTGGAAGGGGGGAGATCTGGATTCAAATTCCAGCTCCAACTGTGTGACCCTGAGCAAATTACTTAACCTTTCTGAGGCCTAGTATCTGAATCTATAAAATGGGGATAATAAGATTTTCACCACCTAACTCATACAGGTGATTCTGAAAAAAAAATACTCCATAAAACTTAAACTTACTATGTAAATGTGAATTACTATTATTATTTATTATTAATGTCATCATCCTGGTTACCTACCATCTCAACAGGTATCCCATGATTTTGCCATCAACTTTGATCCTGAAAATGCTGAGTGTGAAGGTAAGAATGAGTTTGTCCTTGAGTACTCCCCAACACACACATGCACACACACATTCACACATACCACACTACACTCAGCTTACATATCTGAATGGCCCCAAATTTCCCCTACTTCCAACCTATCTTACCATATGGAAGAATATCAGTCCATATGTCAGAGCTCCATCTTGAGGCAAGGGAAACCCTATTCTATTTAGCTATCTGGAGAAACACTCCCCACCACTACCACCACCACCTAATGATTTCTGACTCCAACACCACCTCTCAAACAATTTTCTCTCCAACATCTCTTCTTCCTTTCTCTACCCCATGTCTCCCCTTTCTCTCTACCCTGTGCATGTGACCCACAGAGATCTCTGGGGTCATCGATTCCTATCGCCGATGTCTACCCCAGATCCAGCTGTATGGTCCTACCAATGTGGCTCCCATCATTAACCGTGTAGCTGGTCCAGCCCAAAAGGAGCAAAGCAGCGGAAAGGCTACTGTGAGAAGAAGGGGGGATCGATGCCTGGGGAGAGGGTGATAGTTAAGACAAGCTATTCCCCTCTTCCCCTTAGGGAAGGTCATGGAAGAATAAGGCATAGATCCCTACAGGTTATGGAACTGGGAGGCTTGGGGGAAGAAACCTTAGGGATTAAAGTAGAAGAAGATATTTCTGAATATCATCAGAATATTTCTGAATATTATCACTCCTTCTCCACCCAGAAATATTCAGTGCTGCTAGTGCTGACAGATGGAGTAGTCACTGACATGGCAGAGACCAGGACAGCCATTGTCCGTGCCTCCCGTCTACCCATGTCCATTATCATTGTGGGTGTGGGCAATGCTGACTTTTCTGACATGCGGATGCTGGATGGTGATGATGGGACTCTCCGCTGCCCTCGTGGGGTCCCTGCTGCCAGGGACATTGTTCAGTTTGTGCCCTTCCGTGACTTCAAAGATGTAAGAACATCATCTTCTCCCCTACCCTCCCTGAATCCTTCTTCCTATCTTCTCCACAACAGCCCCTCCCTAAAAAAAAAAATCCTTAGTCTTAGCTCTGATTCTATCATCTCAACCTAAATGCATCTTAAATTCTCCAGGACCAGTTCCACTCTGATCTGTCTCCTTTTTCCAAAGATTCCAGTTCTAATCCCTAAGACCACACAGTCTTCTCCTCCCCAACACACATGAATTCTCCTGGGTTACCCCATTCCTAGGATGGGATTCTAATGTCCACTGGAATTCTGTGATATCATCCCAGCCCCCTGTGCCATCTCAGATCCTCCTTCCATCTTTAGATTCAACATTTATTCATCACCTATTAGGTACAAATTATCTAACTTCCTCACTTTATCCCCCTGCCTCCACTGACCACCTTTCCACACTTTGCTTCTCTCTCCCTTCTCCTTGACCCCACCTACTCAGGCACCACCATCAGCTCTAGCTAAATGTGTCCTGGCTGAGGTACCCAAGCAGGTGGTTGAATACTATGCCAGCCAAGGCATTGCTCCTGGGGCACCAAGGTCCTGCACCCCAGCTACCACCCCAAGTCCATGAACCTGAGGCCAGAGAATCTGGACACCCCCTTCAACCTCTCAGTGAGTCACAAACAAGATGTTGAAAGGGATAACTCGGGAGTAGGGCAAAATGATCAGACCTTGGATGGAAGGCCTGGGCCAAGAATGGACTGTGAGGGCTAGAAAGAGTAGAAGATTTGTGATTGTCCCTGTCTCCTTCCAGGTGCCTGTTCTGTCCCCTGTGACTAGAGTGACCAGTGCCTCTGCCTTTTGGATCAGCTGTGCCCCAGGGAGACCTGCAAGTGAGATGTGGGGCCCTGCATCCCACTCTCATTCAGGCCTTCCTGGCCTCTACTTCATTGCTTCTCAGTCCTTTTCTGAGTGTCCCCCTAGGTTCCCAAGTCTCTGTTAATAAAGTGACCCATTATTAGTCATTCAGCTTCTCACTACCTTATCTTCTGGAAGCTGGGGGAGAGGATGTTGGGGTAGGAAGGGGAGTCTGGCAGGGATAAGAGGGAAGCAGTTTGCCGGATAAAAGAGATCCCAACCCCTTAAGGTCAGAAAGGAACCCAAATATCCTTATTCCTAACCCCTGTAGGTTACATTCAGGACATTCCTATACCTCTAGTTCCCTCAATTGATTCTTTTCCAGTTCTTATTCCAACCCTGCTCCTGTGGCATACAAAGAAATTCCTACCCCTCACTCTGGCTTTGCCTCCTAGTTCCAGGAATTTGGGGGTGGGGTGGGAGAGGAGAAGTGTTAACTATCAAGGTTAACTTTAGGAGAGAAAGGGTAATGAGAGGCTGTCAGAGGGGTTGGATGATTCCCTCACTGAGCTGTCTGCATGGGGGAAACCCAGCTGAGCTTCCCCAGGGACCAAACTCCCAGCCCCCACACAGCTGTGGAGCAGTGTGGAGGGGGGAAGAACGAGGGGGCTTGGGGAAAGCTTACAGAGAGAAGTGAGATCTAGCGTGTCTTAGAATGAAAAGCAGTGAAATGACACCCAAGGCCTGACAGACATCCTAGTTTCTATACTGTGTCCAAGCTTACATATATGTATCTCCCTATTGGTATGTCATTAGGTAGGGGTATGTGCCTGGATGAACTTGCCTTTGTATGGGTGATTTGTAAAAGGAAGTCCTTCTGTCTGTCCTTCCTGTAGGTGTATCAGAAACAAGAGTTGTTTGTATACATGTAAACTCTCATGGGAAGAAAGTTATAGATGTCAGTGTCCAGGTATAGGTGTGTGTCCAGTGTGACGCTTCAGGCAGCGTTAAGAGGGAGTGGGGTGAGAGTAGCCCTGGGTGCTGTTCTCATCTACAGATCATATGACCCCAGAGATGGAGTGACAAAACAATAAAGCAGGAAGAAGGAAGAGAGAGGAGTGCTGGGCAGAGGGGGGAGGGGCCTGGAATTCATGCCCCTCAGTATCAGAACACAGTCTCCATAATATGGCTGATAGTGGAACCAGACGTGGGAGGTAATTAGCCCCTCTGAATATACATTAGCTAGAAAGAATGAAGAGCAACAGATGTGGCCAGGAAAAAAGGGGAAAAGCAATAAAGATGAATTCACAAGAGAAAACCACAGGGAGACAAAGGTGGAGAAAGCCCCAGAGACAGCGAAATACAAGGGGAGAGAAACAAAGAGAGGAAGGGGTGTGAGGGAGGAAAGCACAGGGATAGAGAAAGGGACAGATGGAGAGGGGGAGAGAGGAAAAGAGACATATGTGAGCCTCTCCTTGCCTCTCCCTGTTCTGTCCCCAAGGCAAACACTGCTGAGGTAACTAGCTCTCTGGGGTATGTACTCATCCATTCTGTCCTCTCATATTCCTCATATTTCTGGATGCTACAGTAGTGATCCAGGCTCCTAGGGACACTTAAAAAAACATCCAAAGTAAAGACAAATATAAGCTCCCCACCCATACCCCAGTGCCCCAAACTATGCCCCAGCCCAGGGATGCTCAGACTCAGAGGTGATTCAGATCACTGGCACATTTGGCGATCAGTTTGGACCATGCACCTCCCCTGCCCCCCAACAGACAATGGTTGTCTCTAACTTGAAGTTGAGATCTACCACATGGATTTGGGGGTGGAATCACCCTAGCAATCTCTCTAACTCCTCACCACAAATAACACGCACACCACATGCCCCATTCCCTAACACAGACAGACAGAAGGCAGAGCCGATGCAGATGCAAAGAATAGAAATGTCTTTCATTGTAATGACTTTTGATCAACAGTATTAAAATCCTGACCCAACTTTCATTTAAAATTTACTTCCTGCTCCCTCCCCAGACCCAGAGGAGTCTCATTTAAAAAATGCTGGAGGATGATGAGAGAGGGATACCTGAGGAGGTTCAAGATAGTCACATGACAGGTGATAAGTAGGAATCTAAAAGAGGGACTCGGGAAAGGACACCCTCAAAATTTCCAGGGCCCCTCACTAATGTAAGTCCTCCCTTACTCACCTAAGTATGTTTAAGGGTCAGATCTGCCCAACTTGCTTTCTGGGTTCTGAGTCAGGATGCTAGAGACAAGCGAGCTTCCCTCTGTGAATTTCTCTTGGCTGTCTTTTGAGCTAAGGAGATTGACTCCACCCTCTTGATCTCCTGGGCCTCCTGAGGTTGCCAGTTTCAAGAGGTGAGGAGGGGAGCATCTTCAATACGTATTCCTGTTGAACTTTGCATGGGGGGTTCCCAGAAGAGAAACCACTCAATCTAGTGTCCTAGTTGTGAAATTTTTGAAAGTGGCAGCTAGGCCACTCATATTTGGCCTGCAGTTTATTCCTCATGACCTCAAAAATGCCAGAAACCAGAAGCAAAATGGAATCCCAGATAAATGAGGAGGAGGAAATAGAAGGCCCCCAAATCTCCCTCAAATGAAGGGGCAAGACCTCTATGTCACATGCTACACACAGCGTTGGTGCTTAGAAATCCTATGCTCCCCTCCAAGAAGTCCATCAATTTTGTCCTTGGTCCTTGCAGACCCAAGGATTCTGTGGTCTAGGCGGTGTGAGGAAATTGGAGAGTGGGGAGGCAAGAGAGGAAGAAGCTGGGGAACACTGACTCCCAGAGAATGGGGTGAAGGAGACTTATCCTTGCAGTTCCCCCACTTCTCTTCTGGGAGAGTTCAGTAATACTAAATGGAAGACCTTTAAAGAAATATTTCTGAGTAAACAAAAACGTATAAAGCCCCCTCGTATGTGATGCATCTAGGGGTTCACGTCGGGCCAAGAGGAGATACCAAATTGTTAGGGTAAGGGAACCGCTCAGGCCACGCTGCCTCGTGCGCCTCTCCAGTGTGTGGTCCCAGAAGGGACGGGCTTCACAGGAAGAAGTGACCGTGGTCCACCGGGCGCGGAGATCGCCCGGGGTCAGGACCAAGGCCAAGGCTAGGGCCGGGGCCAGGGGCGCTGGCTGACATCTTGTCACAACGGGCTTTGTAGAGGTCACGCTCCCGGGCCAGGCGCGCCAGTTCGACTCTCAAGGAATCCAGCTGGGCGGCCAGGCGGGCCCTCTCTGCCTCCAGCCCGCGCCGCTGCTGCAGCCGCTTGGAGCGGCAGGCCTGGGCGTAGCCGCGGTTCTTCAAGGTGCGGCGCCTCTGCTTCAGCCGAAGAGCCTCATCCCGCCCGCAGCCCCGCAGCTGCCGGTTCAGCTCGCGCACCGACATGGACACCAACGCAGCATCCGAAAATCGCTCCGCCAGCCCCGGGAGCTGGAGAGGGGAAGGGGAGGATTCAGGCTCCCAGGTCCGCCCCGCCTCTCCAAGGACAAGTCCCTCTGCCCCCCACTCCACCCCATGTTCTGCACCATCATAAACCGCTGCGAACCCATTCAGCAGAAACCACCAGTCCAGCCTAGCTCTCTGTACTGGACACGTCTTTAATCCCTCCCCATTCACAGTAGCAGGACCTGTCCCCTAATTCCTCCCCAGCCCTTCTGGCAGGGTACACTCCCAAGTTCCATTCACCTACTTTACCTTGAAACACCTATACTTTCTTCCTCCTCCCCTCCCCCAGTCCCTCTTTCCCTCCATAGTCCTATTTAGGTAGTTTTACTGAGAACTATGAGTCCCTCTCGTATCTCTTACTTTTAGCAATCCAGAGAACACCCACCCACACACGTCACCGCCTCCCAAATCCCCATCCTCCCCTAAGGTCATAATCCTATGAAAATACGGGAGAAAGACCAGGTCACTTTAGATCCTCCGCACAGTCCACGGGAAGAGGCTACCTTCCTGTGACCCCTTAGGGATTTAGATTACATCTTAATCCCCTTGACACCCCCTTTTGTGTCTATAATTAATAGGATCAGCCCCAATCCTTCCAGAGAGGGTTGGGAAGGGGGTGAAGCGGGAGGGAAGCAAAGTCTTAGGTCAACCTCATGCCACGTCCACCAACTTCACTACCTTCTATTTAGCCTCTACACTTGAATCTTTGTCTTTTCCCCACCTCCCGGATATATTTTTTCTCTCCGGATACTTTCCCGCTTTAACTCTTTGCTCACCCTTGAGTCCCTTCTCATTTCTGCTCGCTCAGTCTCCTTTCTATCTTTTCTTTTCCCCTCCCCCTCAACCTAGAATATTAATTTCGCTCCCTTTCTGGAAACCTTGAGGGAGAGTGGAGGCCCCTTTTTAAAAAAAAAATCTAGTTCCCCTTTTCTCCCTTCTCTCCCGTGCCACCACTCTTAATCTTTCCTCAGTCTTTCTCACCCTCTCATTCAACTTCCACTTTCTCCTCTCTCTCTTTTTTTGTACTAACTTCCTTTTCCTTACCTCAGCACTGACCCGCCCACCATGTCACCGACATCCCGTCCCCTCTCACCTGGGGGTTCAGGCCACCCATCTCTTCTGAACTTCCTGGGTAGTGGGAGAGAGGTCCCTCAGCAGGGGCTGGTCCCTGTCCCTGCAGGAACTCCACAGCTTCATCAGTACTCAACCCCAGCCCCTCCCCAGTGCCCAGCTGCTGCTGCAGGGCAGCCAGCCAGTAAAGCTCTTCCAGACCCTGCCGAACCCCCTCAGTGGCCCCCACTACACCGGGATCACTGAAGGTGGGCGAAGGGGGCACTGAACTGTAGGGGGTGGAGCCCAGTGAGGCTGTGGGAGGCCCAGATCGGCCCTCAGAGGGCTCCCTTTTTACCTCAAACTTCATCAGATCAAAATCATTGACATACTCCATAGCCAGGGGACTGGGGGGCAGTGCCATTGCTGCAGGTGGATGAGAAGGATCCACCTGGAAGAGAGAAGATGAGGTGAGGTGAGTGGGGAGGAGGCCTGAAGACTGTCTGCCTGAGGCTTATTAACATTGTGGAAAGACGACTGAGAAGCTGGATTCTGGTCCTAGTGCTATCACCAACAAGCTTCATGACAAATTGGGCAAGTTGCTCAACTTTCCCAAGCTTTAGTTTCCTGAGGGTTTTGACCTAGATAATCCCTAAGGTTTCTTCTAGCTTTAAAAATTCGTGTTTCTACAAAAATATGAATGGAAGGAAACAACCACACTCCAGAAAATATTTTTTAAAAATAAATAAATGTAACAAAATTACAAAGGTCAAGCAGTATTAGAATTAAGAGATAGGAGAGGAAACTCTTAACCCTCCCCTTCACAGAATGGCTGTTACACATTGCGCATGTTTTTGGACCTTTTATCCAGTGTATTGATCAGTTGTGCTGATTTTTTTCTTGCTCTCTAATTAATACTATTTGTTATAGGGGATGGCTGTCTTGGAGAGGTAGAGAAAGAGGAAGGGTTACGGGATAACTATGATGATGTAAGAAACAGAAGACATTGATAAAAACTTTTTTTTTTCCAAGTTGATGATTCTCAGCCCAATCCCCCAGGCAGTGTAAGGTTTAGGAGCATGAGCTGATGGAGTGTGTCTACAGAGTCCAAAAAGAAGAGGACAAGGCTGGAGCCCATAGCCAGCTCAGTCGTCCTGCTCCCAGGCTCTTAAAGGACCAACTCTAGGGAGAAACAAATTTTTCTATGGCAGTAACCCAATTCTGCATTTGTGACATGCTAGAGTCACCAGTTATCCCAAGAGACGTTCCAAAATTCTCAATCAATTCTCAAAATCAAATAAAGCTTAATTCGCTTTAAAAATATGTGCATGCATATTTGTGTTGTACATAACACATTTAGGTTGGAGATGGTGGCTGTATGTATGTTCTCCAATCAAGAAGTCAGTAACAAGGTGTCTCAACTCTAACTGAATTAAGAATCCCTTCTGAATGAAGAAGTCACCCAAGAAAAAAATAAGGACTTTAGGAACAGTTCTAGAACAGATCAGAGCTCAGTATGGACCACCCTTCCATTTCATCCAAGCTTTTAGAGTGGACTCCACAGTTTGCCCAGCTTGTGTGGATTGCTAAATTGCTAAATTAGTCCTTCCTCCACTCAGATCCTGCTATGTATGGAGGTGACTAGCTGTCTGACCTTGAGCAAAACATTTCATTCCCCAATTTCCTCATTTGCAAAATGAGGGTCAAAAGAAATTCTTAAGATCTTTCCAGCCCTAAAATGCTATTATCTTATGATGTTTGTGCTGAATTTGCTTTAGCTAGCCCTTTTCTAGGATGTCCACTAGTCTCCCGCAGGCTCCAGAAAGAACAGATGGAACAGAGCCTCATATCTAGGGAATGATTAGATCCTAGTGCTTAGTCTGGCTCTATTACTGCTTGAGCAGCCCCTTTCCACACCCAATACTAAAACCTTGCATTATTGGGGGAAGAATAAGAAGTGGGAGGAGAAAAGCAGAGTCCCTCACTTTCCTTGTCGCATAACTGGATCACTGACCATTTTCTTGAGCCCTTCAGACAATCTTCTCTGGGAGACCTTGAGATAGACACAAAGTAGACCTAAGGAACTAGACCCCAGAAATGAGATAAAGAGGAAGAGAGGGAGATTTGGAGGAAAGAAGGGAAAGGAATGAAAGAAAAAGAGAAAGAGAAAAAGAGAGAAAGAAAGAAAGAAAGAAAGAAAGAAAGAAAGAAAGAAAGGAAGGAAGGTAAGAGAAAGAAAGAAAGAAAGAAAGAAAGAAAGAAAGAAAGAAAGAAAGAAAGAAAGAAAGAAAGAAAGAAAGGAAGGAAGGAAGGAAGGAAGGAAGGAAGGAAGGAAGGAAAGAAGGAAGGAAGGAGAAAGAAAGAAAGAAAGAAAGAAAGAAAGAAAGAAAGAAAGAAAGAAAGAAAGAAAGGAAGAAAGAAAGAAAGAAGAAAGAAAGAAAGAAAGAAAGAAAGAAAAAGAAAAGAAAAGAGAGATTCCAGAAAAGGATCAAATCAGGGAAGGGGAGAAAGAATGATGTCTAAGTCAACCCCAGAGAACACTTACTTTGGGAATGGATGGAGAATGTGCAGTCAAGGTTATAGACAGGCAGGCACCACTTTCCTAGAGACAAATGGCCCCATTGAACAGAAATTGGGGACACTGGTCCTCAGCACAGATGGGGCTGTGGACACAACTTGCTTGAGTGAGTACTCTTAAAGAGTCAGCCTGGTGAGGTCATCCTCTCCTCTCTGGCTTTCAACCAATGATATACCAGGGTCATTTGCTTATCCCCTCATCTGAGAGGATGAAGAGTGAACTGTCACCTAGAGAAGGTTTTTAGGGTGTATCATTCTCCCCCCCATAAAGTCTCTCATATCTGGCCAGCAAGTCCTTAGCTCTTCATCACTAGAATCATTATCTTCCCTTTACTATCACTCTATTGGCGCCCCAGGCCCTGGGGGCTACTTGAACTCTTAAAATATGAAAGCCTTTGTCAACACTCTCCCTCTTCTCTTTCTCTTTTTTTTTTTTTTTTACAAATTTCTCCAGCTTTCTGATTTCTACTGCCCTCTCTTACCAGTCAAACTCACATACCCTTTCTAGCCTCAGTGTCTTAGTTCAAGACAAGTTCTGTCCATCCAACACCCACCGAGCTCACTGGCTTTGCTTTCTGTTTTCAGGAATTCTCATCCTTCTTCCTTCCAAGTGGTTCCATCTACAGCTAGACAGTGAAGACAGCCCTCACGGTATATGTCCTTAAAGCACATCAGAAAAATAACCACTGCCCTCTATGAGGGGAGGCAGAGAGTTTGCCACCCCTATGCTCAGTTCCCTCTCATGACCTGGCTCCAGATCAAAAAGCCTGTTAACTTTGAGGTGGTATATAAAGTAGAGTAGTCCCTTTGGTGAGCTAAAGGACCTAGAGGTCTACCATCAATCAAGATGGAAAATGGGAACTTCTATGTCCCTGTCACCTTCTCTTTTCTTCATCTATCCACCTGTCTGTTCCCCTTTCCTCATTCCCAGATGGCCATATTCCTCCTTTCCTATTCAGGGGCCAGAGAGGATTGGAGGAAGGGGGGAGATGACCTACATTCTCTGACTAATCCTGTAACACCTCTTAGAGCTATCATCCCAAAGTAAAAGGTTGGCAAGGGGGCAACAGGAATTAGCCATGGAATTGTTTAAACCTGTCAGGCATTGTTTAAATGAATCTGTACAAATGCGAAACACCAGGGGTTAATGTTTCCTTCCTGCAACCAGGTGACCCCTGCACACCTCTCCCCTCCATGGTGTTTACTACTTCTATTTCTAGTCCCAGAGAGATGTCTGGGTTCCATATCGTGCCTGGGATTCATCAGTCTACAACCTAAGGCAATATTGGCAGTGGGAACCTGCAGGGATATATACTTTGGACACCATCCAACATGTGCCTTTGGTGGAGGGGAAGAGAGAAGATTATGTCCCTTCACCTGTTCTCTAGGTTCTAGGCTAAGGAGACCTGTACTGCATGACCCTCAATTTTGATTTCTGCTGCACAGGGCCCAGTTTCTTTTGTGTCTGCCTATAACTACCTTTGCTTTTCCTAATTCCTCTCTTTCTTTGATCCTATCTCCATCACCCTCTTTAACTGCTCCTCTCTATCTCTGACTCTACTGGCATCATTCAGAATATACAAGTGAATTCAAATTCAACTTCAACAAATATCTACAACCTTCAGGACACCATGCTAGGCACACAGGATCAATGAGGTTGCCAGGATCAAGAACTTGCATGACCCAGCTAATTACAAATCATGGAGCTCAAGAACATACCTCTCTACACAACAGGGCTCATAAGGTCATCGATTTAGAACTGGAAGGGATCTTAGAGGTCATCTAGTTCACCCAATCCCTTGTTTTACAGATGAGGAAGCTAAGGCCCAAAGAGGTTAGATGACTTATACAATGCCACAGATTGCTGTTGTTCAATCGTGTCTGACTCTTCATGACCTCATTTGGGGTTTTCTTGGCAAAGATTCTAGAGTGGTTTGCCATTTTCCTTCTCCAGCTCATTTTACAGATGAGGAAACTGAGGCAAACAGGGTTAAGTGACTTGCCCAGGGTCACACAGCTAATAAGTGTCTGTGACCAAATTTGAACTCAAGAAGTTCATGACTCCAGGCCCTGCACTCTATCCACTCACTGTACCACTTAGCTGTCCAAAGCCACAGGTAATCAGTGTCAAAGTTAAGATTTAAAAGCAGGTTTTCTGAATTCCAAATCCAGTTCTCCTTCTACTGTGCTATGGAGACTTTGAATGGATATTCTACATGAGACATGGAGCCAGGAAACATAGAAAACATATTTGTGGATACCTCTTTATTGGGGATACCCAGTACCAAGATCCAGGAGCACAATTCAGAATAAGAGGAAGCCCTCCAGTCAAGCCCTTTTTCCTGGCCTAGCCAGATGCTGCTGTAACACCAGGCATCTGTCAGGGCGACCCTGATCCTGTTGTTTACTGTGGGGTATGAAAGGGGATGTAGAGGGTTGATGGGGGGAAGTGATAAGCTGCTAATGGACTGAAGGAGCCATACTAAACAAGCTCAGAAGGATTGAGCAGCTCAGGGTCTCATACCAGTCGCCTTTAACAAGGGAAAGGAGCGTATGAGGGAAGTACGGGGTGAACCAGGAAAGGGAGTGGGGACAAGAACAGGATTGGAGCTGAGGATGCAGAAAGGAGTCTGGTGATAAGGGTTGCAAGAACAAGGATAGGAAAGCTAGAAAAGAGGTGTTCCAACTGCCGAATGCAGGTGTCACTCAGTGACTCGCTGATTTATCGATTGAGCTGTACTACTCTAAGAACAAGAAAGAGAAGTGAGGGAAAAGGATATTAAGGTCAAGTCTGGGGAGAATGAGACAAAGGAAAAAAGGAAAAGATGTAAAATGCTTAAGGGAGGT